CATTTCAGATCGTTAAACACCGAACCTTGCCAACATCGGCCAGAATATCAAAAGTCACAGACCATGTATCCGTCTACCACGTAATCACTGAGAGATTCCACTGGATGATTGTATGCAGGTTTATCAAGTCTGTATAAGTCTTATGTACCAAGTGGGTGCATTTTCAGAATTTTACATTATCAACTGTACATTTACCAATGGGTTACCATTGAAAACGCTAACTTTACAAATAGGTTGAAAATAAGTTTGCATTGTCATAAACTGATTGAGCAACGATCCATAAAAGCTGAACTAAATCTTCGGGATTTGTGTCCATTCAGAACGGAAAAGGTTTCCTAAAAATAATTTTTCATAATTCATTTCTTTTGTCCAAAGGCAATATAGATCGGCGATCGTGCGCGAGATCTCGCGTTTATATTCGCAGTTGAAAGGAGTGCAAGGTCTCAGTAATCTCTTAGGTAGATTGAACAAAATATCGAAATCTTAAAAAAACTTTCGTATAAACAGTAGATAATGTAAATATGTTCGTCGAAAAAGGCAACGCCCGCTTTAAAGGCCCCGCCGTCTTGAGGACTGCGGCACAATCACAAACACACACACGCACACACAGTATACACGTTAGCCAGAGATGGAAAACACCTCAGCTACTGTGCCGCAATACATAAAAGAAAAAAGGGAATAACATGCAAAAGGTGCAAGCCAGCTGAGCTACCGATAACGGATTGGCATCGTTCCGGTAAGCTACCTGCTGGCTACTATGCAGCAGGAAAAAAAATTAATCTGCGAAATTATAGAATGCTAAGTAATGAGATCGCGCTTGGAAGTTGAGGCTAAGAGTGATAGGGTGGGACAAAGAAACTCACAGCATAAACGCCATTGAGGTCGGCTCCTAGCCATATCAGCAAGTGTATCCAGCCAAACGTGTTCATCGTCTTTCGGACCCCAACCAAGGAGCCGAGACGCTCCAACCGAGGTCAGCTCAGAAGTGAGGGCCTTCATTTCTCTCGAAATAGTCATCGCTTGGCCACCCCCTCCTCTTCTTCCATCCACACACCCAGCGCACAAACAACGCACGTCGCAGGAGTCGGTGGGCTGGCATGCGTAACACGTGGCCGAGCCATCGGAGCATGGTGCGTGAAATGACGGTGCTGAGCGGTTCATTTCCTTCTCTTGTGCCGTTAGCAAGGCGTCGAACACGCTCGTTGCTCACGCGGTGTTCCCACCAGATGTGAGCTAAATTACGAAGGCACCGGTGGTCGAACATACCTAGCCGCTGATCTAAGGCGCCAGATTTCACAACCGTACAGTAGGATTGGCCGTACCGCTGCATTGTACACTCTACCCTTCGGAGCGAGAGTGATGTCGCGCCGCCGCCATAGATCGCGAAGATTAGCAAAAGCGCCTCGAGCTTTTGCTATACGGTTCATGGTCTCATCTTCAATCCCACGGGCCCTGATACAACTTCCCAGGTAGTTGAATTTTTGAACGACTTTACTGATCCTCACCAAGGGTCACCGAAGGAGGCGGTCTAGGCCAACTTTGGAGGAACGCTTTGCATTTCGATGGTGCAAAGCAAAGCCCGAAGCGGCTGACAGCCAGTGCTAATCTGTCCAGTGCCGCTTGGCACGTTTGTGAGCTGTCACAGATCAGGGCAATATCATCAGCAAACTCTAAATCAAGAAGTCGTTCTCCTGGGAGTAGCTCCACACCTTCTAAGTCTTGTCCTGTGAATGCGATTTCCATGACTTCGTCAACAGCGAAGTTGAAGAGGAAAGGTGATAGCGGGCATCCTTGTCTCACGCCGCTGGAGATATTAAAAGGCGACGACAACTTGCCGTAAGCCCTCACTCTGCTTGAGTTACGCGCATATAATGATCGGATAATATTTGCATATTTCTCAGGTACACCTTTCCTGAGTAGACAGTCCCAAAGTGCACGTCTATCCACCGAATCGAATGCACCTTTGATATCGAGGAACACGACAACGGTTGGGCCGCCAATATGTGTGACGGTGCTCCAACAACTGACGCAAGGTGAAGATGTGGTCGATGCAGCCACGACTTCGACGAAACCCGGCGGTCTCTTCACGAATATGGCTTTCACGAGTGCCAGTCAGTCTGTGAAGCATGACAGAAGCAAGCAATTTGGAGGTGATGGAGATCAGGCTGATTCCTCTATGGTTGCCGCATTCCGATCGTGAGCCTCCCTTGAAAATTGGGATTATGAGGCAGCGGCTCCGGTCTGTTGGGACAGTCTCCTGCTCCCACAGTTTGACTAGTAACTCGTGTAAATCATCCACAAGAGCAGGTCCGCCGAATTTGAAGAGGTCTGGAGGACGATCATCTGGTCCTGCGGCTTTATTTAACTTCAACAGTGCGATCTCACGTTCGACTTCTGAGTGAGAGGGTGGATCCAAAGGGACAGTCCACGGAGCGGGGCGATCAGTGGCGGGCGAGAAATCTATCAATTCCGACCTATTAAATTGCCTTTTAAGGTGCTCAGCCCAACGCTCCAAGCGTTTTGTCAGGTTGTGGATAGGCTGTCCACTCTCGTCACGCATAGTTTCACTAACACCAGGTCTTCTGCTGCCCGTTTTCCGTATCAGACGGAATAGCTTACCATGGTTACCAAGGTCATCGGCCATTTCCATCTCTGATGCACGATGAGACCACCAGAATTCGCGGTCTCTCTTCAGGCTAGCACGGAGTTTTGCCCGGAGTTCTCTGCGAGTTTCATTGTGTTCGCTTCCAGCCGGAATATGCCGGCGGGCATCTATAAGTTCCAGAGACTGTGAAGAGACCCAATGTCCATGTTGGCTATTAGACTTACCACATGAGGATTCACCTGCTGCTAGTAAGGGCTGGTGAATGAAACCAGTGAGCTTCAACTGAATCCGGTGAGCGCTTACTCAAATCGCATGACAGCGTACTTTGATAGACATTCAGAACAGCTGGTTTTGCCAGTTGGCTGGTGTCAATGCGCTCACAACGTCGTCTTGGGCGTCCGGCAAAACGCGTCCGCATGTCAGCACATACAAGTGCATAGTCGGTATCCACATCTGTGCTCCAAATCGAGCGACAGTTCTGGACGCAGCCTCTCCATCGGTAACTTATCACAAAGGGACTGATTTGCGTCCATAGCTGGTCCGAGGCTGGTGAGCGCCAAGTCACGCTCCGGCGGGTGCTGTGTCGGGAATTAGTGCTCGCAAGAAATATGCGAGCATCTTCACACAAATGAAGTAACAGCTCACCGTTATCATTACGGATGCCTACACCATGTTGGCCACTCAGATGCAGTTCATCAGCGGACAACTTTCCAACTTGCGCGCTCAGATCCCCAGCCAGCACAACAGTGTTCGAGCTTCATCTGTGGCGAAGGAGCTCGTTCAATTGGCGATAGAAGTCGTGTTTTACCGAATCATCGCTAGTTTGTGGGTGCATAGGCAGCGATGACGAATAGACACCTGTTAGTCCCGCGCGACTTCGAAATTTTGAACGAGCCAGCCAATCGGAGCGCACACATCCGGCTACTGATTGGAATCCAGTCAACCAGAGCAGCTTCACCCTCGGTACTCAGAACAATATCAACACCGGCTTGGCCGGTGCTCGAAGCTGCATCGTCACCGGATAGGCGCAATGAGAAAATGCGGCTGATGTCAACTTAGGGGGATCACAAAGTGGGCACAGATCTCTAGTCTTGCAGGCGGGTCTCCGATAAGCAGCAGATATCGATCGAGAGGGTCTCCAATGTTCGGGCAAGTGTTGCCTGTTGACCGATCTGTAGTAATGTGCGCACATTGAGGCATACGAATCTGAAGGATGATCCTGGGCTCCAAATGGAAGTCGATGAACTGGGCTTGGCCGTTTGGTTGGACATAGGCTTGTCGACAGGATATGAGTGACGCTCCGCGTTCATATGTGAGTTGAAACTAGAATGTAAAAGCCTAGTAAAGCAAGGTGGGGGAGAGCCAGGAATCGGGGGATTGAAAACGGGGGAGATAAAGTTGAAACTGGACAGGGACGGTAAGAGGGAAAGAACGTAAGTGGGGGAATAAGATGGTGGTAAGGCTTGAGCAGTAGCATCCAAACCCCTATCCACCTTGCCCGATGCAGCAGATAGGGCACCGTTGATTATCCTCTGCGGTGGTCAGGGCATCAAGAAGCTGTTTAAACGAAATTCACTGCGACACAATAGTGGGCTTCCAACCGCTATCTGGAACACCATGTGCCTCGCGCACACCTCGACTGGTCATGGCTTGAGCGTCAGTACCTTGTGGCTGCACACTCTCCCTGGGTCCAATGATCACTGTACCATTGATGACACTACATCAGCTGCGCTGATGCATTCTGTTCAGCGGCCAATAAATTAAATCTAAGTTCCATCGCACATTACAGTATTTCATTGTATACTATGGTTCTTATCTCAATTCTACTGCTTGTCTAATTATAAATTCGGTTGTCCCTTTAGCGTTTTCCATAAAAACGCAACTGGGCTCCATAAAAAGGTAATAATTCGTTTTCGTTTTTCAAGTAGTTTTCGCAAAAGGCCTGGTAGACGTATTGACGTGACATTCTTAGTATTTGTTGGATTCACTTTGTGCAACTCAACTGTATGCGCATTTTACACATTTTGATAATCAAACTTGCAAATTAGGAACATTTTGATGTTTTCAGTCTGCCTTACCTCATCTCTGAAATTAGGCATCTTCTGTTTAATATTCCACTTTAGTTGTGTGTTATTCACACAGTCTTAAGGGGGATACATGACTCAGAGACTGAATGCTCTGCGTTCACATAGCCAATGATAGCATATTTCTGGTTTCAGCAAGACCGTGGTGTTCTTTTCCTACTATCTTCAAAATCTTCCATGAATACCAACAAATGACGCTCCTATTACAAGCGGCTCCTTTTTCGATCCTCCAGACTCTTGGCTTCGCCCTTACTATCGTTTATTTATTCAACTAATATCTTTTTAACCATTTTTACAGAACCCTGTTGTTCATGAAAACCAACAAAGGTTTCACCATAATGAGCTTTCTACTGCCGTTGGTGTATCTCTTCGTCCTTGGATTATTCTTCAGTGGGCCCACAAAAGAGGTAGGTTCTCCATTGATTTGTACGATCTCAACGGTTTTCTGTCCTCGCTGATCATACCCTTCTCCAAATGACTTTGTCCACACATGGTGGCACATGTTTAGCGAATGGATCTGTCAGCCGGGTACTCAATTCCCGTTATTCGCTCCTGCTGCGTGCATGATCTCTTTCGGATGCACTGTAGGTGATGACAAACGCCAGCACTAGGTAGACGAGTGCGCAGTTTGACTCTTACTCTTCACTCTAGATGTGCCATGCAATCAGTCTAGGACTACTATATCATTAAGAGATACGGTGATGTATTCTATAGGTTGAAAGGCACAGTCAAGTGAATTACTGCTTTAGGTTTTTCTGAGGGTAATCATCGGATTTATAGGCATAATAAAACCATCTTCCCACCACTGCCGAGTTTGGCGCAGCGATTTTCACTATTTCCGTTCCGTCAGCTTTCTCTTACCTTACAGTTCATGCATGCCCTGATTTCCCACACTTTTTGTCCTACATTCTACATGTTCTAGTACTCACTATTTTAAACTGTGAATCCATACGTGAGACAGTTATCCTAATTAACTGCGCGAACCAGTTAAACATTCTCCAGTATGTATATTTATGTTTCTTTATTTAGCATTTGACCAATAAACAATAGGCAATGTCGCAACACATGGGTAACAACAAAAAAGGAAAAGAGGCACCCAGGAAAATTTTTAAGTGAATTCATGTGTTGAGATGGCAGTGAATTTCCCGGTTTCCTAGTCTCTCCTCACACCTGTATACATAAAATTCATACGTTTTTCTCTTGATAGCGAACAGGCACTGGCGGTTCTTAGCACTTTCTGCGCTCCGTTCTGGCTAGTGGAATAGTGTCGTACCGTTCCGTTACAGCTAGACGATTGTGTAACGGACCTGTTTGCTGTATGGATATCCCGAGACCTAACCACCGAGTGGTACTTCCGATGGTGTAATTTACGACATTTGTCCCCGATGAACTGAATTGCTGTTTACCCTGAATATTTATTACCGAACACAGTGTATTCCCTTGGGTACTGGTTCTCCTTTGTTTCACCTTTCAGACTCACATTAACCATGTGGATATCACCCGCGAGTGGAAGGGATGGATGCAGATTTACTTCCTTATATATCACTTCACTGGCTCATATCGGGTATGTGGATATTTGTTGAGCAACTTGTCAACCTGCGTTCATCGTGTGTCTAGGTTGTTTCTCACACTGCTGTTTCTCCTCTTCATAGGTGATTCCAGTGTACTTATTCACACGATACTTCACTTCGACCTACTTGTTCTTGTCCGGATTTGGTCATTTTCACTACTACTGGCACCATCCACTACCTGCTTCGTTGCTGTGCAAGTTGATCCCGGTAACCCATTTGCCTTCATGTCTGTTTGCTTTCTTCACACTTTTTATCACTTGCATTAGCCATGGGTTGGCATTGCGTTTCCTCTCATCCACTCTTTCTAGTTCATCATCTATATCGAGGTTTTCGTTCGTGCTTCCCCACCATTCATTACTCTTTCTGACCGTATGCAGATAAAGATGTATGCACGTGAAGTTTTCGTCCATGCTTAACGCGCCCTCACATCCCCTCCCTACGATGTATCAAGGCCCCGACTATGATACAGCCACGTTTCGGTTTTCGCCACCTGTTTTCAAGTTAAGCTAGGTTTTACACATTCATGTTGAAAATTTTTTCAGCATTCACATTGACACTCCGTCTTTACGACAAGATAACATCGGTGTAAGGAGAAATGCAAAGCGACGAGGGAAACAAGACGAGTGCATTTTCACCCAGGCAAACGGTTTCGCAACTGTTGCATCATTGCTTTTGGTCCGACTAATGATAATCGAAACAGATAGGGCAAGATTGGATTTCGATACGGTACGATACAATAATACTAAACGTCTACCTCGTGGAAGTGATAGAGCAGTGTATACGGATTAAGAGGAGTCGTTTAACATCCTGCATGGAAACATTTCAATAGTGCTCACCGATCACAACTGTGATTTCCTAAAAGCGCTCCTATTTGCAGGTTGTTTAACCTTATCTCGGCCTTTCCAACCACAGGCATTTGACGCGATTAGTAAGCTTACATCTATAAACCAGCTTTCTTTTCCTACGCACTTGCTTGAGTAGTATATATGAAAATCTATCAATTCATTACTAGGTGACCTCAATGTGGTAACACAGATTGAAACCGAAATTCATATACAGTCTGAGTATCCCTCACCTGATTTATCTCCAAATAGTTCGCTTCCCTTTGGTACACTTTGCGTCTCATTGTATTCACCTTACATGTTATCGTAGATGTTAGACCATTTGCTCCGTCCGCAAGTCTCCCTGAACTGCTTATCTACTTTGCGTTTCGCATCTTTTAAATATAACTGTTAAAACGTTTGCTGCTTTCGTCACTTTCCAGTTCCGCTTATCTCTCCGAGAACTCCGCGCCACTGCATCTTCTTGGTGGTCAATGTTACACCGGTACTTGTTGGTGAGTTATCGTTTACTTTGTCCAAATATCATTTGCTTTCATTCCGATCAGCACGCGTCGGACTTTCTATTCAACGCTACGTTTGGGAACACAATAACCGACGAAAAATGTGCGTCCCAAACTCGATTACTCTCGCTGGGGCTTTGTGCACACTGAACCTGCACTGTACATCCTGACCGATACGTTGCGATTTGTACGTTACCTCCACTGAACTGTTCATTGGGAGTTCTTTCGTGTGCATTTGTATGTGTGCCTAGTGGTCACTTGCCCATCAGGTGTACTGGCCTTATCTGACTGAAGCATCGTATAAACACCGAATATACTGTGGTCTGTGTGATCCCAGCGTGGTCTAACTCGGCTCCGGCCTCGTTAATGCCTTTTTGCTGGGAACCTAGCGTCTGCACGCACTAGACTGTAAGATACGCCCAATCAGTTCGAGGGAAAGTTCACCGTGGTTGGCAAGTTACCGTTTTTCATCTATACATCACGTTTCTCGATGAGAACAAAGAAGTCTTTCTCACAATATTCTCTTCAAAGGAGCGAGCCTCCTCACACTTCAAACTGCAAGCAGCCGACCGGCCAGGCAGTTGGGAATACCTTAAGCAATATCAACTCTGTCTCACGAATCAACTAGTTGATGATGACTAGTTGGGTTGAATGCGCGTAGACGAACATGGGGGAGCTTTTGGTAAAATATCGTGCTGAAGTTTGAAAACAATCGTTTTAATCCGTTTTTATGATGCTGCTACGCACCGTCAGGTGGCGGCACTTTGCAGAGTTGTGTGGGAGTTGGTTCCTTTTTGCCCTTTCGTTAATCAGGTCCACATGGTTATGGAGATAGGCACTGTTGGATGTTGAGCGAATTGGCATCATCTGCAAATATTTGCCATGGGGTTAAAATCTTCTCTGGGAGGTCATTTACAAAAATTACAAACAGTAGTGGGCCGAGAACGTATCCTTGCGGTACACCACTGGAGACGCGGAGGCTTTCCTAGTGAGCGTCGGCTATTCTTACTTTGACGGTTCTGTTTTGTAGGTAATCTACCAACCAGGTGAGCAGGGAACCGTTGATATCGTAGGCAGCAAGCTTTTAGAGAACGAACTAATTGACTCGGTCGAATGCCTTAGAAAAATCTAAGTAAACCACATCTATGGCCTGGTCCATGAATCCCGAGCAAGGAGGATATCTGTGATACAAGATCGCCTACGTCTGAAAGCATGTTGCACATTAGAAATTCTTTGCACACTTTCAAAGTATGGCATCAGTACATCTGCGATTATCGATTCCTTCACTTTTGATACAACTGGTTGAAGAGTAATAGGACGGTAGTTGGCAGGATCCGATCGCTTACTTACTTTGTATATCGAAGTGATGATTCCACGTTTCCGCTCAGATGGCAGTGTATGGGAGTCAAATAGACCCTAAAAAGGCTGCAAGATGTACTGCTATTTTGGGGCAGGTTTTGTCAATTCTCGTAGCACTGTTTTCCCAGAGAGAATGTAATCTGCTTACGACAGTTGCTGGGATGAAGGTGACATTGAAAAAGCCGGCGACGTTTGTCGTGAGTTGATAGAGCAAACCTACCATGGTATTTGTAGCCACTGAACCAGACTGCAGGCGTAGTGCGTTCGCGGTATCCACAGCAGTTGTCGTTAAGCCACTGGCCGTCCTTAGTGGTTTAACCTTCACTTTAACGTTTTACCTACCCGTATAACAGTTTTTTGCTCGCAAATTTGAGTACCATGTTCTTCTGTCTTTCGTACTTGTCGATTCTAGTGAGTGACATGCAGTAGTTTCTGATAGTTTTATAATTCTGTAATGGGGTACCACATGGTCTTAACGTATGTTGCTTCCAAGTCTCATCTGTTCTGTTGATCCATTTACGTGTTCTGCTTAGGATCCAATTGTTGATTTGGTACGATACTCATAAGGATACAACTTTTGAGGCTACTTGTATATACCAGTTAACTTCACATTTCAATTCATTCCATGCACCGTTCGCCGAACTGTGAGTCTGTAAGTCGCAGTCAACGATTGTCCCTAGATTGTGAAGCTTGAAATTGTCAGTAATATTTCTTGGGTTTTGCGTTCTTCCTCAGCCATACTGACATAACACACATAATCAAACGTTAGGACTGTATGGTCGCTACTGCCTAGTGGAGGGTCGTGTGCGATTGACTCAACCATCAACTCTTCATTTGTCGGGATAAGGTCCAGTAATGCTGGCTTGTTTGAGCCGCGGTTCTAGTTTGTCAATGCACATGGTTATACAAAACTGCCATTTTCAAGTGGTTTTGCTTTGAATGATGTCCCATTTGGCACATGGAGACTATTGGAGGTGCGTTAAGGTCGCCAATTATAAGGTACTGTGAGTACCTTTTGAAATTGCTTAGTGGAGTGCGTTTAACAGATTGTCATCACTGTCTGCGGAAGGGTTCGGTAGCCTGTAGACAACTGCTAAGAGGCACGAATCACGCGTTTCCTTCTGTTACCCACCATCTCGATCTGCTCGCTGCAGTCGGCAAAATAATGCTTCGGGAATAACAAGGGACTGTTCGGTAAAGACCTCACGTTTCAGGTAATCTCGGTAGTAGAGGTCAACACCGCCACCGCGAGATGGACGGTCATTTCGTGTACTTTTACCCGTGTACTTTGCTACTTGCTTCGTGCATTTATCTGGGACGCGTGGTCCGCCCTATGGGTATCGGACAAACTGCTCGGAGTCTACTCCTAGTCGGGTTACCTGAGGCTAAAAAGTAGACC